TCGCCCAACTGTATTTTAAGAGCCGTGTTAAATTTTTTTATATTTTGTTATACAATATAAATGTACCGCCCGATAATATTTTATATTTTATATTGGGGTTTTAGTGCCATTTTAAACTGCCAATTCAAACAAACAGAAACTTGAAAGAAATTTCATTGCATTTTACAGGAACTTCGCATTTAGTTCAAGGAGATATGTTGGAAATGACAGAAATATGTACTGTAATATGTTTATTTTGGTTTAGGACACTTCACTTCAGAACTCACAGAAATATTAAATGTTAGGAATTTTATTTGAATGAATGAATGAATGATAATAATATTTATTCAGGAAACCAACATCACAAGAAGTGTTTTTCAGATGGTTCCTGCAAAACATTAAAATACAAAGTATAGAAAATATATATAGTGTGCGTGCAGTATTTACATATTGGTATATATGGATATATAGGATATACCAGAAAAATTATGAGACTATAGGATATATGATGCTATACATATTTACAAGGATACAAAGAGTTAGTAAGTTATATTTTAAATAGTTATGAGTATTATGAAGATAGAAATTTGAGAAGTTCATTCCTAAAGGTTCCTAATTGTTCAATGGATCTAGTATTATAGTTCAAATCGTTGTACTCTTTACAAGCCTGGTAAAGCAGATTTTGCTTTCCCCAGTTTGTGTTCGGCTTACAGAGGTATATATCATCTCTGCCTCTTGTGTTATATAAATTATTAGTTCCAGGCAGTTCGAGATTAAACTCTGTTAAATTATTTTTTAATTTAGGGAGCAGTCATTATTAATGCCAGGGGGGGCGGAAGATATTTGGGGGGGGGCACCAAAAATTTATCAACCAGTTAGGGGGGGCTACCAAAAATATCAAAGAAAAGTAGGGGGGGGGCACCAAAAATAATTAACAATTATTCGCCGAAGGCGAGGTGATTATCGGTGAATAAAAACCGAGACGAAGTCGAGGTTTTTATTCACGATAATCACAGAGCCTGAGGTGAATAATTGTTTTAGTATAATTTCACAGGTGATTATTTGAAAAAAAATAAAAAGATGCACATTTCTTCGTCTTTCAATTGACAAAACGGCTTCGGCCGCCATTTTGAAAATCGCTTAGGTGATTATCGCGTAATAGTCACCTCAACGGTAACCAATCAGCGTCGAGAATTTTCAATAATCACCTATGTAATTATACTAATGTACAATAATCATAAAACATCAGCAATTATAGTTCACTGTAATATAAATGTCAATGTAATATAAGTATAGGTAATCACACAGGAAGGAGTGCAATTAATTATATTAACACTACGAGTAATATTTGAAAAATGCGCCAAAATTGCACAAGCTGTTAATTAATTGCACGACTTGCCCGAGTGATTATTTATTTTATGCATAACATGATGAAATTCAATAAAATTCATCTTCATTTTGTCAAGAGTTTTTAATTGTTTTGTAAGCAATTTGGCATAAACAAACTTGGGAAATGATCGTAAACTCATAAAGGCACATAATTTAAACTAGGACAAATGATTCAAACTCAAATAACATATGAAATTATTAAGAAAATCTTTATAAATTGTATTTATACAGACTTACATAGTCACGTTTCGCTGCATCTCGTCGAGATTATTTCTTAAAACTGTTTCCAGGTATTCTCCACAGGCTCTTTTTGTCATACTATGCTTTTTAATTAAACTCATTCTTGTGCCAAAATTTAGTTCAATTGAATTCGTCCATGTGGTTTTTATACAAGATAAAGATAAATTTCCCCGCCATATTGGACTTGTTGTTTTGATTTCCCGCTCCCCCAGCCATCGAAAATCAAGCCCAAGGTGTCGCTTGCGAGATTGGGCCGCCTGTGATCTACAGTATATGTTTGGAATGCAAGTTCAATCACAGGGGAAGAAGGAGGGGGGGGGGGGCTGTGACGTGGGTTGGTTGATATGGTGGATGGTGAATTGGATGGTGTGTTGGTGAATAGGTTGTTCTCAAATTCTGGGTCTGATAGAGTGAGCAAACGTTGTAGCCCCTCTACTTCAAATTCAAATTGAGCATGACTTTGGTCAATGTCCATTTTGGAATTTGTCTGGATGGAAGTCTTCTAATATCGTGATAAATGGAATTGGGTTACAATATGAATGAATGTGTTGCAGTGTTTTAAATGGACATGATTGATATGGAAAAGTGGTGATGAATCTGTTAATATGTTTATTATTCGATTCATTGTTCAACCCATGTGGCCATTATTTATTAATTTACCAGGAGATCTCTTGATACTTAACTTTTTCCTGCCAATACATAGCAATTTGTTGTTTGTTTTTTTAGAATTGGATCAAAAAGGTGGTTGCAGGTATTCAGATCCTGGAATGCTGTGAAATGGCCCTGCTGGACCTGTTGGGACATTCTATTGGGTGAACATCAAATGGTGTGTGGAGTGAAATGAAATGAAATTTCGATTAAATGTGACTGATAGAATTGGAATGGTATAGATAATGATGATTTAAGTGAATTATGTATGATGATGCATGGACTGTGATGATGTTGGTGAAGCTTGATTTATAATGAAGATATAAAGTGATGATACTGGTGATATATGAGTTGTAAAATGGTATGAAATATAAGTGATACATAAGTCTGAACAGTGAAGCTAAAATGAGACATGAATAGTAAAACTGTGACGTGTATGACTCGATTGATTGTTTTTGTGAAGATCGCGCAGGCATAACCCGGGTGCGTTTATAATGTGAGATGTATTGTGATGATGCCAAGACCTGGGTGAATGCCAATGTATCGCCACCCAGGTCAAGTCCCATGTGTTTTGTGTTCAAAACTAAGGGTATGTTCTCATCAGGCTCCAAGCATAACCGGGAAAGCACGTTTCGACCCCGCTAGCTGGTCTTGGAACTACGTGCTCGCATATAAATATTCATTTCTGTTCCTTTGATGAATTATACATGTTTTGCGCGAAAAAATCTGTTGATTATTTCGTCTAGGAACAGTGTGAATGTTAGTTGAATTTGGTATGTGTGCTTTGTGGTGGGTGAAAATGATATGATTCTAATGCGTGATGTGTTGATTTTTGGTTTCGGAATGTAAAAATTGAAATTTACTTACTCGTATAACTGTGGTGAACCGTACTCTGCGTGGTTGTGTCACTTGTGACGTCACCCGTGACTTGGTATATCGCGCATAAACCGAAAATTTATTATATTTAAAGGGGGGGGGCCATGAAAAAATATTTTGAAGGAATGAGGGGCCATGAAAAATTTACCATGAGTTTAGAAATATCTTCCGCCCCCCGCCCCCTGGCATTAATAATGACTGCTCCCAAACAACAAGTCGTTTTTGTTGCCATATTCGAATGACATCTAAATGACTAAGTCGCGAGTGTGATCACATGCAGGTGTGATTAACTGATCCAATACATAACTATTGTGATTCGACGTGACACTGTCGCTCACACACTGGAAACACTGCAAGGCTGCACATATGTTACACAATCATCCTCATAGACGTTAATAGCTTGCTTATCAAACGTTGATACGCAAATATTTTCTGTCGGTTAAATTTGTAGTTTAGCGATATTTTCAGGTCTTTCAGTATCAGTGTTGTGTTGTGTTGAAAGCTTCGAGCACATGTAATTAGATGTAAACAGCAAATGATCCAAATGATCCACAAAAGCAAATGATCCAAATGATCCACAAAAAGCAAACGATCCAAATGATCTACAAAAAGGAAACGATCCAAATGCACCAGCCAAAAAGCTGACGATCCAAAACAAATAGGTAGCTAAAACTATTATTTAAAAAACAAAGAACAAAACGAAATGATATAATTCCATTATCTCCTATTGGTATGACGTCACTCTTGACTTGTAACGTCACCCGTGACTTGGAATATCGCGCATAAACCCAAATTTCTCAATTTAATACAATATTTTAGCATTTTTTGACAATATATCCAAACACGAGAAAACAATGTATGAAAACACGAGCGTGAAACGCGAGTGTTTTCATACATTGTTTTCGAGTGTTTGGATATCCCGGCGAGACACGAGCTCGAGTTGTTTATATGGCTTCTCAAATGAATCAAGACGTAACAGACTGTTTTCGTTTGCTGATTTGAATAGAATTCTTAACCAAGCATAACGTAATTAGGAATTCTATTGAAGTAATTTTGCATGCGTAATTAAGATATTTGATGAAAACACTAGTGACTTTCATCAAGTTTCACCGGGTTATCCAAATGGCATCTTGTGATCAAATAGGTGATTATCATTGGCTGAATTGCTCATGAATTATTAATGAATTTGAGAATTATATTTATTCACACGTTGATGACTTGTGGATGAAAATAGAGCGAATCAAGGTAAATTAATCTTGGAACTAAGTGTCTGTTTTGAAGTAGCATGCCTGCTGTACACTTCAGCCATTTACGAAATAGTACGTTTTGGTTTTCGAAGCGTCTGCCGTCTATACCATGTTTCCTATTTCAAATCATCTGGTCACCTAATAGCAAATAGGCATTTGAATCCGTTTTGGCGCTCGACTAAAGGAGAAATTTCGTAAAATATGAGCTACAATATTATTTTAAAGTATAACAACCAGCAAAGAAATAAGGTTTTGAGTAAAATTGGCCGATTAAATGTTTTATAAAATGTTTATATATATAAACAAACGTTTTGCGACAGCCGACCTCTGAACGTTAATAAATAATTAACAATTATTCGCCGAAGGCGAAGTGATTACCGGTGAATATTCACCGAGACGAAGTCGAGGTGAATATTCACCATAATCACTGAGCCTGAGGCGAATAATTGTTTTAGTATCAAATTTTTAATAAAACAAAATATCCAAATATCAGTTCAGTTAAAATTCAGAAATAAAACAGTAACCGTAAAACCGGCCAAAGTGTTGCTCTCATGTACGCACACGCTTTCAAAATGGCTTGCTGTGTGACTTTATTGCTTTTATATTACAAAGTTGTTTTTCTCGATTTCTCAGTGCTTAGAATGTAAACACAATGATGGGATAACTTTTTCACCATACCTTTCTGTTTAGCATTATTTTGTTCAGGAAATGGCTGAGAAAATTGGTAAAGTGGAATGTAAAACTATTGCTCGAATGCCTCGAAATAAAATTTTAATACACTTTTCACTTTACAAGTTTCGAAAACACAATACAGCGGCAGCTGGACACTATATACTAGTACAGCACAATGAAAACATGACATATCAAAAGAAATAGCATCGTACAAATTGAGATATCTATAGCCAGGATACAAAAAAAAATGGTTTTAAAACTCACTCAACAGTCGGGATAGTTTTTGCTATTTGTTTAAAGTGAATGTTTCGGAGTTTTAAATTTTCCGTGAATATGTTTGACACAGTAAAATAATCAAGGAAAGTTAAATACAACATTTTGTGCTTTTTTCGTTTTTTGAGGACGATTTTTTCAATATTTCGATGATTTTGAAACCAAATATGCCGAATTATTTACTAGTCAGGTGGTAAATAATGCGTCAGATTTACTACTCAACTAGCCAATCAGAACATGCGAAAGCTCATTTGATATGCAAAATTTATACTAAAGCTGATTGTTGCGCGTTCTAAGTCTGTATATCATGCAGCGCCCATTTCTCACTCCTGCTTAGTTTCTCATATGAAACAATTATGTTAAGTACACACTTTCGTTGAGTGCAGAATGCAGATGTTTATTGTTTAGGATGTTGTTGTTAGAATTCCGAAATG